ACGGCCAAAAATGACAACGACTAGCGAACTTCCATCAAGCTTGAACACCTGGATGGGTACTTTCCTCAGAAACCTAACCCTGAATACAAGCTTCGTACTAGCTATTTTAAGCCGCCGCTTGAGGAAATCGGGGGAATTTAGGGTGCGCAAGTCAACTGTCAAGCAAAGAGGTGAATGCAAGCGACTTGAGCTATGTATCATGAATTCCGACTGAGGATCTCCGAGTCGCGAGGTTGACTGATTATTCGAGAACAAATATTCTAAACCAAATTTCCATTCTCAACACTGAAGCCGTGAACATTACGTGCAAAAGCGAAAATGTAAACCATCTAAGCTGGCTGTCGTCCATAATAAATGAAATCTCGCAACTTCGGTCATGGTCGACGCACGTTTCTACTGTGCCGCTGTGATAAGGTGTATGTAGCATGTTACCGGCTAAATCCGCATCTAGAGTGACCAGCAGAGCGTAGACGTGGGGTCCCGCTTTGTACTTACAAGCTTATTGCGTGGTAACTGCCTGCCTGTAACGAATGAAAACACCGGGAATTTCGATTTGACACCTTGGGGTATGGTCCACAATCATCATTTGATGTCATAGAAAAAATATCGTCTTGCTGCGCATTCCAAACTCGTTTAACTAGTCGTCAGTTAGTCGGAGATGAATCGAAATTAACAGTTGAATCTCTCAAAATATTGCGAATGATTAGCAAGCTACCGAAGCATACAGGCGAGAAAAATCTCTCGGCCATGTTCATCTGCGCAAAACTTTGGCAAGAACTACAGAGGCTTCAGAAACAGCTCGAGACAGTCAGAAAAATCTAACTATAAAACCGGTAATGTACAAAGGAAGGGCGCAAAAATCACTCAACATTCGAAAACCGAGAATATTAACTCACTTTAGCCATTCAGAAAAATAGATTTAGCATTACAATGTACGAACAAATGTGATGAAATTTCTAACTTTTTTTTTCCAGCTGAGCGAATGCCACATTCACCCGATCTCGCTGATGCTGCAGTGCGTGTGAACGTACTCGTGAACCAAGGAGATGAAACAAGCCATCATCCATCATCCATGTGATTCGTCTTGTCATGTATCGCTTTCAAACATGGTCTAATTGAAGTCCACGAATGAAAAGACCGCTTTAGTTCATCCGCCTGCTTCTAATTCAGGGCCCAGTGTTGAAAAGTTCACCAAGTCCAAACCCTGGGAGAAAAAGTGTATGCATAACGCAGTTTTCCTTGACATGAACCACGGTTTGTAGCAGTCATTAACTGTGCGATATTTCTGTACTGGCCGTCGAAGTTGATACCGTCAACTGTCGACAGCCGTTGTAATGCCTCAAGACATTTATGCAGTCGGGCCCCACCCGCGAACGGGTGTATTTCTAGCAGTATTTTGGCCCCATAACAGAGTTGTAGATACCTAGATTCATAATTAACAAGTGTAACCTGTTACAGGTTTCAAACGTGGCAACTAGATGCGCGTAGTCGTATGAGAATAAAACATGGCTCTGAAGCGGATGAACCACTGCAAACTCTCCAAGTGCAACATTATAGCCCCCCCACAAGTCCATATGGATGAGCAGATAATTTCACTAACTAGCCTCCAGTCTTGTTGCTTCCTTGAGGACAAGTTTCCCCTCAGTATGTAGCCAGCCCAAAACAAGTCTCTTCTTTCCTCCATCCTATCCCGTGTTCTTGGCAGTTTGCTCAAGAGTCGAAGTGGATTTGAAAATAACATTACCGGACGCCTACATCTCCGTCTCTGTAAACTGAAGGCCTTCAAGTATCGATAAAACTGCATGACCGGGTGCTACACGGAAGTTTGCAGTCTAAGGTCTTGTGGTACCTGTGTGCACTTCCAAAAACATGGTACCGAGCCGTTATAATTCGGCCACTCGCTGCTGCATACCTGTTTAAGAACCGAAGTGAGTTGATGATGCAGCCTCAAAAAACTGTGGTAGGTATTATGTAGGCATAATTTCGCTCAGTGCGTACGTGATCCTAAGATTATTCCGAGAATAAGAACCTGGAAGCAACTAAATATGATGGGCGTAGATTTATTGCAAGATGTTTATGGATGCGCGATTGTATACCTTCGAAGAAGTAAATTGGAATGACGACGTGATCCTTGAGTCGGAGCAAAAGTTCCACTTCGGGTACCCAACATTCAACAGCGACAACGCCACGTGAGATTGGTTGTCAAAATTCAAGGAAGATGAAGTGGGCATTGGGTTTATGGCTTCATCTGGCGGTGCGGTTACTGCTTGTAGGTTCTTCATCTGTCTGTTTCACTAACGGTGCACAGCACAATTAACAACCGAAAGTCGTTGCACAAATGTGGTGTGAGAAGCTAGGTTGCCAGGGATATGAGGTTACGTCATCCGCGGCAGACCGAGTGATTTATTCTGTTCCGCCAAGCGCAACACCTATCACTCGCTACTCATCACCCAAATGTTCAAGCTCCTCCATCATTCTCCACAAACCTCTCAACGCGCTTTCATTATGAATTATTCTTCACACATATGTCCTCCCCCCTTTGAACATATAGGCTCCTTCGGAAGGTGAGTGGTATATTATCTTACAATAGTCCTCAAATTAATTGTACAGTAGCGGGCCATAAACCAAGTTCTCGACGAGCTCTGCTGAGAGCCTCAAATATGAAATATGAGTTCTGGATAGTGGGGAGTATTTCCCACTGATCGAGCTGAATCAAACTGACAAACACTCAGGCGACCGCTGGCTTGACAGACAGGCTTGATAGCGGCTGGCGTCAACAAGGGAACTTAGCTATGGACCTCGGATATCAACCAAGTGGAGTGATATTGATTATCATATAAACAACAAGAACAAAGCTATACTGAACCCGCAACACATGGTTTGATACCATCATACTAAAGATATGTCGAGCATTGCTAACTCAAGTTACAACTACACCCTTTACAGACCCGCCGCTTGAATAGTGCATAAGCAGAATCTTGGCTTCGAAGATTTAATTCCCATAGAAACAGTATCATGTCTTTCGAACAAAAATTTGGAGGATCCTACCGAGAGCGGAAGCGCTGAGAGAACCCGAAGGCAATCACGAGAGCACGAGCATCGGTCGACATTGGTGGAGGCTGAGGGTGGCGAACGGCGCGTTAAGTACACGGACACTATAGCGCCGCGGCGTGGTATAGTACACAAACGGCAACCCGATCTTGAATTTCCAGAAACTCAGAAACCAGCTGCAGTCGGCATATTACACCATTTGGTATTGATGAAGAAGCCCCAGCCACGGACTCGAGACATTTTACAGACAAGTTTTCCCTCAATGAAGATAGTCTGAAACGCTAATAACTACAGTGTCTAATCTAAACGCGAAAGAAAAAAAAAATGACAAATGGCGAGACAAATCGTTTCAGTACTTCCCAAGCGGGGCCGAGGTTGCGTGCGCTCATCGTCGGCGCGGGATCGGCAAAAAAGAAGTCCCTCCGACCGGAGTCGAACCGGTGACCAACGGATGGCAGCAAATATTACAGTCCGGTGTGATACCAACTACACCACAGAGGGTGTGGACGTTGCAACAGGTAAATATACACAATATAATGTACAGAAGCACTCAAATTACCAAAGCAAGCTCGTTCTGAGAGCAATTAGGTGACGGCTTTGATGACCCACTGAAGACTCGACAAACCACCAAACAGACCTACGGTAGGCCTGCAAATAATGAAATAGCTCTCTGTAACAACAAGCCTATTGCAATGTCCAATAGAAACCTTTTTTAAAACAGCAAATCGCCAATCGGCCGATCAACTGCATCGGCCCATCGCTTATAAACCTAGGGATTATTCCAACTTGGGGTACCATGATTTTCGTTATATTTGACAGCTGTAATTGGATAGTGTGCTAAATCCGAAACTCAGAGGACAATATATCGTCGACAACCGCAAATAATACTCTACCATCGCCTATTGCGTTTCTTATTCATAGTATATCACTCGCATAGACATATCTCAGTTGCAGCAGCACGCTCTTTTCTTGAACTGGGTCCTCGCGACATTTTAGTAAGCAAATAGCCGATATAAAATCAATACGTTTTTATTTCGGCCCCAGAAGCTGTCCAGGCGGCTACCAATGTTGTCTTGCACCCTTTTCCGCTCTGCTTTTCCCAGAATTTGACAAACATTAGCATGATGACAACGAGATGATGGTTTATTGACCCGACCTATGTGTACCGGAACATAGCATAAACAAGGCGAAGGCAATTAAGAGCCAGGATTATCAAGTCCGCGAAAAGCTCGATTTCCATGTCATAAAGGGAAGGCTTTGACTGTCAGTCAGCTTCTAGCTGCCCACGGCCATTTTTTTGCCTCTTTTGTCACCGTGTATACCGAGGCTTTAGGTACAGATGGAGCTTTGGGAGACGTTGCAAAAGTGGGCATAGCAGGAATGGAGCCTCTTGTAGTTCGTAAGTCTCATCCTATTCCCATTACACAGAATAAAATTAGATGCACTAACCAGCTCGACACTTCTCATTCAGTAGCTGTGACAACTGTTCCAGTGAGGGTACGGAATGACATGACCCCAAAATCTGGGACCGCTCTGTGGATGTGTTTTCTTTTCGCTTGTTCACTGGTAGCAAGTATTGTCTCAGCATCCAGCTTACTCCAATCAGAGTTTATCATGAAGCCATCCTCACCGTATCAGATCTAAACTACCAACTGAATCATAATAATAAGAGCGAACAGGGCTCCGGGACACACCGACGAGACGAGCAGAAATGGAGAATGAGTGAAGAGAAGGACTACAACCCGACAAAGATAGACCGCTCCGGGGCGTTCCCGGTAACTCCTGAGGTCACTCTCAGAAGTTAGCAATGTATATACTAGTTAGTCTCCGCCATAACCTTAGGGTTAGATGCGTGTATGAAATTAAAAAAAAAAAAAAAAAAAAAAAAAAAAACTGAATCATAAAAGTACATGAGTATCCCGTGGAAGAAAATGTCATAAACAATGATATTCCGTTAAGGGAAATTGAACCCCGGTCTGGCCGGATTAAATGCTCTACATGGGAGCGGCCGATGCTAGCCAGTACACTATAAAGGAGAGGCTTGAAAAAATGTATAACCGCATATGAAGCGTATGATCAGTGGAAATAATTTCAAGAGAGCTGGTTGTTCTTGGTTGCGGAGTATTTCTCGGTATGGTATAGTTGCATTGCGGGTGTCTCTAGGAAGATGATGTGCATAGGGTTAGGGTTAGGGTTAGGGTTAGGGTTAGGGTTAGGGTTAGGGTTAGGGTTAGGGTTAGGGTTAGGGTTAGGGTTAGGGTTAGGGTTAGGGTTAGGGTTAGGGTTAGGGTTAGGGTTAGGGTTAGGGTTAGGGTTAGGGTTAGGGTAGGGTTAGGGTTAGGGTA